GGGGTTTTTGTTCTAGATTTGTAGATGTTGTGTGCCGTGTTGAGGGGTTTTTGTTCTAGATTTGTAGATGTTGTGTGCCGTGTTGAGGGGTTTTTGTTCTAGATTTGTAGAGGTTGTGTGCCGTGTTGAGAGGTTTTTATTCTAGATTTGTAGATGTTGTGTGCCGTGTTGAGGGGTTTTTGTTCTAGATTTGTAGAGGTTGTTTGCCGCGTTGAGAGGTTTTTATTCTAGATTTGTAGATGTTGTGTGCCGTGTTGAGGGGTTTTTGTTCTAGATTTGTAGAGGTTATTTGCCGTGTTGAGGGTTTTTTATTCTAGATGTGTAGATGTTGTGTGCCGTGTTGAGGGGTTTTTGTTCTAGATTTGTAGATGTTGTGTAACGTGTTGAGGGGTTTTTGTTCTAGATTTGTGGATGTTGTGTGTAGATGTTGTGTGCCGTGTTGAGGGGTTTTTGTGTAGAGGTGTGTGTGTTTTTTTGTTCTAGATTTGTAGATGTTGTGTGCCGTGTTGAGGGGTTTTTGTTCTAGATTTGTAGATGTTGTGTAACGTGTTAGGGGTTTTTGTTCTAGATTTGTAGATGTTGTGAGCCGTGTTGAGGGGTTTTTGTTCTAGATTTGTAGATGTTGTGTGCCGTGTTGAGGGGTTTTTGTTCTAGATTTGTAGATGTTGTGTAACGTGTTGAGGGGTTTTTGTTCTAGATTTGTAGATGTTGTGTGCGGTCGGTCGTGGTGGAGATCTTTCTTTTTTCTCCTCATTTTCCCTCTCTCTTCCTCTCGCTCTCTCCTTCCACTTTCTGAAATGCTGTGTGTCTGTCTGTCTCTGTTAAACTCGTCTATCTGTATGTATCTATAAGAATATTCCCTTGTTCACCCTTTCTGTTTAACGTTGTCAAGTGTATCTGTATCTGTGTGTCTATAAACTGTGTGTATGTCTGTCTCTGTTAAACTCGTCTATCTGTATGTATCTATATATCCCTTATATACCCTATATATATCAATATCTATATCTGTATGTATATATATATATATATTAGAGCTGTACCGAATATTCGCTTTGTATTCGCTTCGGGGCCGAATAGTGTACCTATTGACTATTCGGTATTCGGCCGAAAAGTTGCGGTCGGGCCGAATACGAATAGTAGTTACCTTGCACCCGCTTCTGCATACACTGCCTCAATGCTGACAACATGGAACGATTGGTTTTGTTCATAGCTAAAGCAGCTTTCCTGCATTAACTAAGCTGTCAGTGACAATTTCCAAGTTTAGTTACTTGTTATACTATTTAGGATTCTTTCATTCCTAGTTATTAGTTACCACAGACTGACTGAAGGATGCACAATATAGAATGTTTACTATTTTGTACGAATATTAACTAGACATGGAAATAATATAAACTCCGGCCACATCCAAGGCTATATAATCTGAAAATCAAACGAACAGAAACATGTAAGTACTTGGGTGCAAACCTCAACTGTTCCAACACGATGAGAGAAGAAATACAATCTAGAATACAATCTGGAAATAAAGTATACTATGCCCTTTAACATCTGCTAAAGTCAAAGTGTCTGTCTCGCAACACCAAGATCAGAATATATAAAACGTTGATAAGACCAGTTGTTTTATATGACTCTGAAACTTAAAGCAAAAATAAAAGAGATGAGGCCTTATTACAGGTTTCCGAAAACAGTATTATGACAAATTTTTGGACCCATCAAAGATGCTAACAGCGGGGAATGGAGAGTGAGAAGCAACAACGCAACACATAATCTGTTTAAATCACCATTGATCACTGGCATAATGAGAGCTAACAGACTAAAATGGCTGGGGCATATTGAAAGAATGTCAGATGACAGAGAAGTAAAAACTGTATACACCTGAGAGAGGAATGGGAGCAGACCACAAGACAGATAAAAAATTTCGAGAGATAATGTCCAGCCAGACCTGCAAACAACTGGTGTCACAAATTGTGAAGATAAGGCCAGCCAGAGAGATGAATGGAGACGAGTGATATCTGCAGCAGTAAACCTCGAGGGCTCAGAATGCTAAAGAAGATAATGACTATTCTGTGCTACTTTATGTGAAGTAAAAGTTCAGCGTACATTTGACATTATGAATGTGTTTAAAAATTTTTTTTTTACAACATACTTTATACACTATTCAAATTCGTATTCGGCCGAATAGTTGGTCCCGCTATTCGTAATCGGCCGAAAAGTGAAAATCACTATCTGGTACAGCCCTAATATATATCTATATATATATATATATATATATATATATATATATATATATATATATATATATATATATATATATATATATATATATATATATATATATATGTGTGTGTTGTGTTAGAGCCCGTTTCTTCTTGTTTTTGGAGCTCAGGAACTACCAATCAGAAGTGAGCTAGTGTGTATATGGGCGGGGCGTGGGGAGATTATTTTTACATATACTCAAAAAACATATGTAACAGATTATTACAAATAAAGAGATACCCAACTACAAAATTGCTGAACGCCCACCTTGAAACTTTTTTGCGCGCTCTTCCGGGGTGTTGGGCGGGGTGGCGGCTGATATATCTGGCCCTTTTGACCCTGGCCCTTTTGACCCTGATAACATTTTAATATTTGCCTTTTGACAACATGCTTGTTGAAGGAGAGTGAGCCGATTCTCGCCATTAATCTACCACAAAGTAGGGCCCCGAAACACAAAACTGGAGAGGTGGTACAGACTCTTTCCATGTGTTATGTCTCAATTACGTACACAGTTCTGAAATGACATGCGTTGAGTTGAGATAGAAATCAGCAAAACAACAACCGGGACATTCCTATAAGCGTTCTGTCCCTATCTTCAGCAGCCGACGCAGAGTTGAGTTCCACTTCGATTAGGAGCAGTGGCAGCGAATTTGTCTTCTTTACGTCCTCTTTTACCGCTTAGGGTGTCGAGGAAGATATTAGGTCCTGCTTCGGGTGTCGAGGGAGATATAAGGTCCTGCTTCAGGTGTCGAGGCAGATATTAGGTCCTGCTTCGGGTGTCGAGGGAGATATAAGGTCCTGCTTCAGGTGTCGAGGGAGATATAAGGTCCTGCTTCAGGTGTCGAGGGAGATATAAGGTCCTGCTTCAGGTGTCGAGGGAGATATAAGGTTCTGCTTCGGGTGTCGAGGGAGATATAAGGTTCTGCTTCAGGTGTCGAGGGAGATATAAGGTCCTGCTTCAGGTGTCGAGGGGGATATAAGGTCCTGCTTCGTGTGTCGAGGGAGATATAAGGTCCTGCTTCAGGTGTCGAGGGAGATATAAGGTTCTGCTTCAGGTGTCGAGGGAGATATAAGGTCCTGCTTCAGGTGTCGAGGGAGATATAAGGTCCTGCTTCAGGTGTCGAGGGAGATATAAGGTCCTGCTTCAGATGTCGAGGGAGGTATAAGGTCCTGCTTCAGGTGTCGAGGGAGATATAAGGTCCTGCTTCGGGTGTCGAGGGAGATATAAGGTCCTGCTTCAGGTGTCGAGGGAGATATAAGGTTCTGCTTCAGGTGTCGAGGGAGAAATAAGGTCCTGCTTCAGGTGTCGAGGGAGATATAAGGTTCTGCTTCGGGTGTCGAGGGAGAAATAAGGTCCTGCTTCAGGTGTCGAGGGAGATATAAGGTCCTGCTTCAGGTGTCAAGGGAGATATAAGGTCCTGCTTCAGGTGTAGAGGGAGATATAAGGTCCTGCTTCAGGTGTCGAGGGAGATATAAGGTTCTGCTTCAGGTGTCGAGGGAGATATAAGGTCCTGCTTCAGGTGTCGAGGGAGATATAAGGTCCTGCTTCAGGTGTCGAGGGAGATATAAGGTTCTGCTTCAGGTGTCGAGGGAGATATAAGGTTCTGCTTCAGGTGTTGAGGGAGATATAAGGTTCTGCTTCAGGTGTTGAGGGAGATATAAGGTTCTGCTTCAGGTGTTGAGGGAGATATAAAGTTCTGCTTCAGGTGTCGAGGGAGAAATAAGGTCCTGCTTTGGCCTCTTCTGGCAGCTTCGACCATAGACACATCGTGGTACTGTAGAGTTTCTCTGATGTTATCTTCCCATCTTGTTTTTAGTCTGCCACTTGCTCTACGCCCCTCTCCTTCTCTGGTATATGCCTTGTTTGGTATAGCACTAAAAGGCGTTCTCTCCTAGTGGGAAAACCATTTGGCTTGCTGTCTTTGTATATAATCTAGAATTGATTTTGTGCCGACTTTATCTCGTATGACCTCATTCCTGATTTGATCTCTACTTGCCACTCCTGTAGTCTTTCTCAGACACCTCATTTCCATGGTTACTAATATTCTGTTTTGTTTTGTTGTGAGTGACCACGTCTAGCACTGGTAGCACAGGGTGGGAATGAATATGCTTCGTATGAGATGTTTCTTTGTATTGACTAGGGTTGCCTTATGCTGTGAAAGAGGGAGGAGGGAAAAGGGGGAGAGGGGGGGGGGGTGGCTAGCTGTCCCAATACTTGGCCAGCTTTACTGCATCGGATGTCAATTCTTTCGTCCAATTTACCATCTTCAGTGAATGTTGTTCAAAGATATTTAAACCCATATGCCTGTCTAATATATGTATGCGCTAATGCAGTATTTAAAACCTGCGTCTTTCTTCCTATTGACATTACTTCTGTCATTTCGATGTTGATTCTCATATTATTTGATTTACAATCTTCATTCTTGGATGTGAGACGCAAGTTCATGGCTGTATCTGCAATCAAGTCCTCCTGATCGTCAGCAAAGATTATTTGTTGATGTTAGCTTAATGTGTTCTTTTACGAACGTGTAAAACCGTCTTGATATATCGTTTTATTTCATTTCAGAGATGACCTCGAAGTTACTAACGCTTCCAGTCAAATGCCACCACAGAACATTAGCATACAACCGCAGGGGCAACAGCAGCAGCAGCTGGCAGAGCATCAGATGAGCCAAATCTTGGTGGATCAACACATCGGTATGGCCGACCAACACTCCTCCCACGCCGCCCTGGAGCACGCCCACGCCATGGCCGAGCATGCTGCCCATAGTATGTTGGACCTCAGCGAGACCGGCAGTCTGGAGCATCTAGCCGGGGGAGGCCACACTCCCCAGACGCTGTCAGACCTGAACGCTTCTGGGCGGGTCCCAGGTCAGTCTGTTGACTCTGCTGCTTCCAATGGGGTTAGGCGACAGCAGCATTCGGAAGATAGGATGTCTGTTTTATCCGACGGTAGCGCCTCCATGAGGCAGATGAGTAGCGATCGGGACATGATGGGTGGGGGCAGCAGCAATACTAATGGTAATGGGCTAGTTAGTCGCCCTCTTTCGGTGCTTGGTGGAGGTTCGTTACCTGACAGACAGAATCAACCGGTGAGGAATTTAACACCTGTGGGGTTAGATGGTCGAGGTGGGCAGCACGGTGGCTTGGGAGCTTCGATGAATAGCGATGGGCGTGGAAGTGTAGGGCTTGGCAACCAGAACCTATCTAGCGGAGGAGGCTCTGGGAACGGAATGCAAGAATCTCGTAATTCAGCCTCGCAGTCTCTTGGATACAGCCCGGCGCAATCATCTAACTTAATGAACTCAGTTCCAATTATTCCACGAAGAGGACGGCCGCCCACCTTGAGCTCAGCTCACCAGCATCTAGGATCAGTCGACCAGCATCGTGGAGGACAGTCCTTACCTCTGCATATGAGAGGCCTCTCTGACCACCAAGGCCACTCACACCAGAGCCTGGTGGAGCATCACAGCCAGCAGCAGAACCTTGGAGGCGACAACAACTCCAACAATCACAACGGCCGGAACGGCATTTCCGCCTTCGGGATGGACAATAACAACGGCCAGCTTCATTCAAGACCCGGGTCCACGTTGTTATCCGAAGCCAGTAACCATAACGACGCACGTGACCTTACCCGTCCAATCTATTCAACCCCATCTATTTCCGGTGATCGTGGAAACCCACAGGTGACGTCGTCGCTGATAGAAGAAACAATCGCAGCAGTGGCTTCAAACTTCAACAAATCCTCCCCCGATGGAGGCATCATGCCGGGACCTCTGCCCCCCAACTCATTGATGGGGCTTGGGGTCTTAGGACTCGCCCGTTCCAACAGCACCATGTCTCACCTGGGTCACGGAGGCGATGATTCGTTGGCCGATCTTGTAGGCCGACATCACACTCACAGCATACCGTTGCTTTCGGAACGGGCCAGCCATTCTTTGTCCGGTCTGATGGACGAGCACTCGATAAACCACTCGATAAACCACGCGATGAACCATGCACAAGGACACGGAGGCGGCCAGGTCCGGGAGCTGGAGAAGACGCACCCATGCCTGACTTGTCTGAAGATGTTCCGTAGCAAACAGCAGCTGGCTCAGCACAGCCTGGTGCACACTGGTATACGGAAGCACATCTGTTCGTTCTGTGACCGGGCATTTAAGCAGCTTTCTCACTTACAGCAGCATGTGCGCATTCATACAGGTTAGTACCTACAATGTGTGTGTCTACATATGTGTCTGCTTACTATGTCTTTATTGTCAGTCTCCATTCTGTCTTAGGATCTAGGTATGTATATCCGTCTGTCTGCATTGTTAGTCCCCAGGCAATCAGTGTCTACTTTTGTTTCTTCACCCGTCTTCATTCTCTGTCTTTCAGTCCCCAGACAGTCAATGTCTATACATGTTTCTCCGTCTGTCTGCCTTCTATGTCTTCAGTGTCGCTTTCCAGTCCTTAGTCAGTGTTTATACATGTTTCTCCTTCTGTCTACATTATGTGTCTTCATTGTCACTTTCCATTCCTTAGTCAGACAGTGTCTATACATGTTTCTCCTTCTGTCTACATTATGTGTCTTCATTGTCACTTTCCATTCCTTAGTCAGACAGTGTCTATACATGTTTCTCCGCCTGTCTACATTATGTGTCTTCATTGTCACTTTCCATTCCTTAGACAGTGTCTATACATGTTTCTCCTTCTGTCTACATTATGTGTCTTCATTGTCACTTTCCATTCCTTAGTCAGACAGTGTCTATACATGTTTCTCCGCCTGTCTGCACTCTCAGTCTTCATTGTCAGTTCACAATAAGTCCGTATCTATATATGTGTCTCCGTCTGTCTGCATTCTCAGTCTTTATTGTCTGTTCCAAGTCAGTCAGTGTCTGCATTATTTGTGATTAGTGATTAGAAAGGATTATCATCACAGCACTCCGGACATGTCCACAGGTGCTCCGATCTCCTCCTCAAAAGCTCCACAAGTGTAAAACGACTGATGACGCCTGTTCTGTGTTGGTTAATGAAACGTCTTGTCCCCTTAGTGAAATGTTCATTTCTTGTGCATTCTGTGTCTCTCATTGTCAGTCCCTGTTCTGTCCTCTTTCTTTGCTTCTACTTTCTATCCCCCAATGGATCATAAACCCCCAACCAGCTCACGTCAAGTCGTTCTCTTTTCGCTGTTGCATAAAACATGATCCCCATGTTCTCCCTACCTGACTTCAGTCTCTGCCCGGCTCTCTAGCGAAGTTGGTTGAACCGGACTTTCGCGGCGGCCGGGTGACGAACTCCTTGTGGTCCGGGTTCACTCCCGGGGGTAGGCAGAAAAGCCACATTTCTCCCAGATTAACGGTACCTATAATGGAATCAAGGCCGAAGGGTTGCGATATCCATAGTGCCGAGCCAAAGGGTTTCTGGATACGTAAAAAAAAAAAAAAAAAGACTTCAGTCTCTAGCTTCCGTCTCCGTGTGTTTTAGGGCCTGCCTTTATTTCTTAGGTACGCCGCCGTGATGTGACGGCTAGACGCTTGCTTGAGGTTCCGTAGGCCCCGCGTTCGGGTCCTGACAGCTGGAATTTCAAATAGAATTGGTCGACCCAGTCCTAAGTGGCGACCAGGAGAAGTCATGGGTAGTAAAGGCGACCGTTGTTAATCTGACCACATCACCCACGAGTGTCGATTGACTTAGCCCTATATGCCCAGTTCGCTTGAAGGCATGGAAGAGGGTCCTTTTCTTTACTTTATTTATGTTCCCCTGTGAGTTCCAGTGTAAAAACATTAAAGTTGTATTATTCTCGGTAAAGTGCAGCAGCAGAAGTTTGAGGCCTGGGAGTCATGATCAGTGTTGCCACTTTGGATGTTTTACATCCAAATTTAGATTTCCCCCCTTGCATCTAGATGGCGTTTTTGACGTTTAGATGGTAGATGTTTTCTAGATGTTTTTCATTTGGAGTGAATTTATCAAAACTAACCTAAGAAACATGATGAAATTTGACCTCTTAAATGCTATATTGACAATGAAATTCGGCCTGATGAGAGAAGGAAAAGGCTGTTCCATTTATCAGCTTCCTGATTGGGTATTAGAAGAGATTGGAACAGCTAAAGCATGCCAGAGTCATTTTGGATCTGAAGCTTCAACTTCATCATCCAAGCTAAGTTTATCCCGTGGATCTTGTAAGGCAGACTTCAGAAAAGATGAGGACACGATTCTATAGGATAAGTCATATCAATTGCAATGTAATTTGTGACTCTTTCCATTTGGATGTTTTTTCTAGATGTTTTCCACGCAAATTTAGATGTTTTTCGATATTTTTTGACTCCGTTTTGGATGTGTTTTGTCAAAGAAAAGTGGCAACACTGGTCATGACCCAGGTCGGCCCACCCTCTGAAGTTTGAAATGGGGCGAAACAATTGTTGACGATGGATCTTCTACTGATGATTGGTACATGCTCCCCTGTGGGGTTCTTCCTATTATTATTCTCCAGTTTTCTCAGCGTGTGTCGAATCCAACGCCAGCGTCTTTTCTTCACATTTTGGTCACTGTAAGTTGTTTTAGTTCTCTCTTAAAGCCTTGATTAAATGGCTCGTAACACACCAGTCTGTCATCATCCAGTGTTTACTTTGTCTCTGTCTGTATCTCTCTGATTTTAGTGCCTATCCCCTTTCTTCTCTCCCAGTCTGCTTTTATATATATATGTCTCCAGTCTGTTCTGATAAGTCTGTGTCTCCTACTTCTGTGTCTTCAGATTGAATGGCTCTAACACACCAGTCTGTCATCATCCAGTGTTTACTTTGTCTCTGTCTGTATCTCTCTGATTTTAGTGCCTATCCCTTTTCTTCTCTCCCAGTCTGCTTTTATATTTATATATCTCCAGTCTGTTCTGATAAGTCTGTGTCTCCTACTTCTGTCTCTTCAGATTGAATGTCTCTAACACACCAGTCTGTCATCATCCAGTGTTTACTTTGTCTCTGTCTGTATCTCTCTGATTTTAGTGCCTATCCCCTTTCTTCTCTCTCAGTCTGCTTTTATATATATATGTCTCCAGTCTGTTCTGATAAGTCTGTGTCTCCTACTTCTGTGTCTTCAGATTGAATGGCTCTAACACACCAGTCTGTCATCATCCAGTGTTTACTTTGTCTCTGTCTGTATCTCTCTGATTTTAGTGCCTATCCCTTTTCTTCTCTCCCAGTCTGCTTTTATATTTATATATCTCCAGTCTGTTCTGATATGTCTGTGTCTCCTACTTCTGTGTCTTCAGCGCTCCCAGTCTACATTTCCAGTCTGTCTGTCAAGTATGTGTTTTTTTCCCTTCTGATTCTGTCTACAGCCTGTAACCACCCTATGTCTCCGGTCTGTCTCTTCAGGTTTGTGTCTCTAGTCTTTCTGTCTAATCTGTTTCTGTCAAGTCTGTCTCCCGCCTGTTTCTCTCTGGTCCGCCTGTGCAAGTCTGTGTCTCTGGTTTTTGTCTCTCCATTCTGTCTCTCTAAACTCTATCGCCCAAAGTCTGATTCTCTATGTCTGTGACGCCAGTTCCTAGTCTGTGTCTCCAAGTTTCTACCTCCAGTCTGTCTCCACTGTCTGTCCCCAGTTGGCTATCTTCAGTTTCTGTTCCCCAGTCATATCTCCAATCCTCTTATCTCCAGTCTTGTCTTCGTGTTTGTCCCCAGTCATATCTCCAATCCTCTTATCTCCAGTCTTGTCTCCGTGTTTGTCCTCTGTCATGTCTCCACTGTCTGACCCCAGTTAATATGTCCAGAGTTTGCGTCCCCAGTTTATGTTCCCATTTTATATGCCCGGAGTTTATTTGGCCTCAATTTTTAGGTCCCAAGTTTATGTGTCCCCAGTGTATGTGTCCCCAGTTTATAGGTCCCGAGTTTATATGTCCCAAGTTTGTGTGTCCCCAGTTTGTGTGTCCCCAGTTTATATGTCCCCAGTTTATATGTCCCCAGTTTATATGTCCCCAGTTTATATGTCCCCAGTTTATATGTCCCCAGTTTATATGTCCCGAGTTTATATGTCCCAAGTTTGTGTGTCCCCAGTTTATTTGTCCCCAGTTTATATGTCCCCAGTTTATATGTCCCCAGTTTATATGTCCCCAGTTTATATGTCCCCAGTTTATGTCTCCACTTTGCTATCCCCACCATGTGCCCAAGCTGTGCCAAAACATTGTCTATGAAAGCTCTACGGCTGGTCCGTCACATCTGCCAAAATGCACCTGACCTATACAGTCAGAGTAGAAAGGACAGATGCACCGGCGTTTCGGAGAATGTTCATATTCTTGCCTTCCCTTTTACCTTCCCTTTGAGAGTCTACAGATCTTTCTGTTCGCCTCCACCGGCTGTAAACTGTGACGCAAAGGACTGGTTGTTCGTCCCCTTCTGGACTTGATCCACAACTTGAGTTGTGTGTGCACATCCGTTTTACAAATATAGCTTATTTGCATGTAGACTGTTGGTTCCTGGCCGCTCAGGCAGCTGCACCTCGACTTCCAAGGAAACAGCGCTTATTAGACTTTTACGACATGCTTGAAGAGTTGGGTGGGTTGTCAGTCTATTTTGTGGGGGTGAAAGGGGAGGAGGAGGGAACTTTTGCTAAATTTATGTGAACTTGATGTTATACACACACACACATACGCGCGCGCGCGCACACACACACACATACGTGTCAATTTTGGTATTCATTCATTCATTCATTCATTCATTCATTCATTCATTCATTCATTCATTCATTCATTCATTCATTTATTCATCGTCCTGTTGTGCTATTGACCTGTCACACAGAGCTAGCAGTCTGTTTCTTCATTCCCATCTACGTCATATCCGTATGGCATTTATTACAGCAGATTTCTGGAGCAAACCCCCCCCCCCCTGTTATTTCTCTCCCCCCCCCCCACCCTCCCTCCAATCATCTCGAAAAATCACAGATTTCTGGCAAGTTCCCGGGGAAGTCCAGTAGTATATGGGTGTTAAGGTGTTAAATCACCCACTGACACTAACCCACCCCTCTTTATTCCTAGACTTTATGCTGTCTGTCATTCTCGTAGTTCATAAGAAAAAAAAAGGGTTACTGTTGAGAGGACATCGACTTTACCTGTCACTCCGTCCACCGTCTGTCTGTCTGTCACTCCGTCCGCTGTCTGTCTGTCTGTCTGTCTGTCTGTCGCACTCCGTCCGCTGTCTGTCTGCCTGTCACTCCGTCCACCGTCTGTCTGTCTG